GAAACGCTCGTTTTGGAGACTTGGCGCTTCACTTTTGGAGGACGTCTCGTACGAAACGCTCGTTTTGGAGACTTGGCGCTTCACTTTTGGAGGACGTCTCGTACGAAACGCTCATTTTGGAGACTTGGCGCTTCACTTTTGGAGGAGGCCTCGTACGAAACGCTCATTTTGGAGACTTGGCGCTTCACTTGTGGAGCTGGACTCAGACCCAGCCAATTTGTAGTGCAAATGTAGTGCGGAACAGAGCTTTTTCGGCGCTGGACTCAGAAGTGGCCAGTTTGTAGTACAAATGTAGTGCGGGAAAGAGCTTTTCGGAGCTTGACTCAGACTCACTTGCAAATGTTGATCGCGTCACATGCCGCTGGGCCTTGGAAGCGTATTCCAGTATATGGCACTGGAGCTTCTTCATTGAGGTTTACCTTCAACCAGGCGCTTGGCTTGAGTTACGGTCATTCTCAAGCTGATCATGCCTCGCACGCTTAAGCCATCACTGGTACGCTTGGCTTGGAAGCCTGAGTCCGAGAATACGACCAGTTGTGTCGGATATTCAGCTATTGGTGCATAGGTCAACGCTCTGGGGTGCTGTTGCATCCAACGAACGAGCGTGCTCAGTCTTTTAACATGCACTGCTTTGGCTTTGTGGCTCTCTCGTTGTAGTGCTGTTACATACACTGCTGCAACCGGTCTTGTGAAGAGACCGTAGGCCACTGTCATGAGCAGTGACAGGAAGTGCCTTCGCTCTTGTTCATGGAGATCCATCTTGGAGAGTATTTGTGGGGACCGGCATTGGCCTTATGGCGCTGATGAACTTCATTTGGTTCAGTGTGATTTGGCGTGAACTTGCATCTTGCTTATGTTCCACGCCACAGAAGGTGAAATGGTGGTATTCAACCTCCATGGCGCCAAAGGTTCCCCAAAATGTTTGATGAAGCTGTCCACCAGGGTCCGAGGTCCTGCTAGCTTCAAGTCATCCACGTGTTTGATGAGAAGCATCACGATCTCGCCCTGAGCGTTGTGCAGGAACTCCCATTCGGAATCCATCTGGGATGATCGGCATACGTAGGCTTCAGTGACTTGTCTTAAGCGAGCGTTGAAAGCTTGTGGTGCATCTCGGCACCCAGTGCCGGGCTTCAAGCACTGAAGAACCTCCTCTTGAGGGTGGCCAGTTTGTAGTGCAAATGTAGTACGGGAAAGAGCCTTTCGGAGCTGGACTCAGAAGTGGCCAGTTCGTACTCAGACCTGGCCAGTTTGTAGTGCAAATGTAGTGCGGGAAAGCGCTTTTCGGAGCTGGACTGTCAGAAGTGCTTTTCGGAGCTGGACTCAGAAGTGGCCAGTTTGTAGTGCAAATGTAGTGCAGGAAAGAGCCTTTCGGAGCTACGGGAAACAGCGTTGCGGAGCTGGACACAGAAGTGTTGTGTGATATGATTGCTTCTAGTGTCTGGGCAGACCGTGTGGCATTTGCGTTCGTGATGTCGCAGTGCCATGCGGATTTGCG